AGGCCCCAGCACAGAATGTCCACTGACCAATGAAAATTCAGAAAAAAAAAAAGTTTTTTTATCACACCTAAGCCCAGGTATTTTGGAATTATCAATCACAAAATTTCAATACATTCAAGTTAATTGTAGTTTACCCCATCCAAATCTAATTATTGATTAATTGACATAAAATATATTCAGCCTACAGACATTTAACTTCAATTAAAACATTGTACATGAAAACTTGCATTTCTGCTAACAATTAAAAAACTAATTAAAATCTGACATAAACACATATTCAGAACAAATAGTTAAATGGTATAAATTAGATATCAAGATTGTACTACAGTAAGTAAAACACAATTTATTGCACTTTCTATTAATGTCATGTTCACGATCAATTTCAAATACATAAAACAATTTCTGATTGGTCTGCTTCATTAACACACAAGATACTTTGAACCAATCATACTTAACCTTGCCTCCTGATTCTTTTCTCATTTACATATTACATTATGTATGTAGAGAGCAATATGTTTCAACCCATCAAGCATGTGATGCTTTCTCCTACCAATCACATTCTTCCTTAAGTCAGGATTATCTTTTTTCCAGAAATTCTTCAAACAGCAACATTTATTATTCAAAAACAAATCAAAAGTTTTGAAAGTCTATATTGCTTTTGAATTCTGTCCCTAGCCTTTTTAATTAGACTACTCCCATAATTCAGTCCTTATTATTTCAACCAATGAGGGCAGCTGTTACAAACTTATTAGATTGATTCAAATGTATACCTTTAATTTCAACCAATGACAACACTTGCTTTAAAACAATCTGTTTGATTCTTACACACCCCTATATTTTTAACCAATGAGAACAGCTGTTTTAAAACAATCAGTTTGACTCCATCTTCTGATTGGCTAATTCCAGAGTAAGATTTCCAACCAATGAGAAACACTGTTTTAAAACAATCAGTTTGAATCCATCTTCTGATTAGCTAATTCCAGAGTAAGTTCTTGTCTTTCAGATTCCTCATCATCATCTTCATCATCATTATCCTCACCAGCAAATTCTAGAGCAGCTGATGGCATTCCTTCAATACTAATATGAACCATATCATCATCTTCTTCCACTGTGAATTTAGCTTCATCGCCAACTATATGACCGTCGGAATCTAACATTTTCTTGTTGTGCGTACGTTTATGTTTAGACAAGTGATCTGATCGCATAAATTTCTTACCGCACTCTTCACATGCAAACTTTTTCTCACCTGAAAAAAACAACAAAACAAGATAAATATTGAAAGCCACTAAAAAATAATGTTCCAACATTATCATCATCTAACATTATCATCAAGGTCTCTTTGAATGCTTTTCAAATTTTTTTCTTCTTATTTTCATGAAGCTTTCCTTCCCCTTAGTCAATATGCAAAATTTCAAGAAGAAATAGAGTGGATAGTTTTTCACCACTTCTTCTCTTAACCTGCATATTTTTTCTTAAAAATTGGCCTATTTTTTATGAATTTAAAGTACCTTTATTTTCATTGAAAAAAAATTAACAGAAATGATATAAGGAACTGCATGTTATTTTGTATTGTATTCAACAATAAAAAGAAAAACATTATCCAGAAGTAAAAATAAGTATTCATTAATGTATGTATAAGTTATCTGCCCTTTAAATGACCTCAAATAAGTAGAAAATTCTGATTCAGGGACAGGTAACTCAAAAATGAGAACGGTGGCCCCAATTTTTTTTTCGCTTCAAATGTTTCTGTTTCATATTCTAACAACATGCCAAGTTTAAAGAAATTCTATAGAACAGTTTTAATTTTGCCTATATGTCTATATTTTGTTTGTTTCATTTTACGCCTTTTCCCAACAGTATTTCAGTCATATAGGCGATATGTCTATATGAAAACTCCCGAAAACGTCCTTAACATGTTTATACCTGTATGTGTCCTTTTATGTCTCTGTAATTCATCAGATCTTGTAAAACGTTTACCACAAAACATCCAGTTACATACAAATGGTCTCTCACCTGTGTGCCACCTATTAAAAAATAACAATCATAATTGATTTTCTGTTTGTTTGATTGGGTTTAATGTCACACTGACACAGTATAGGTCACATGGCGATGTTCCAGCTTTACTGGTGGAGGACAACATTATTTCAGGCACAGGAGTAGAACCGCCTAAGTTCCGTAAGCTAGCTGGGTAGCTTCCTCACATGAAAAAAATCCTTGTCAGGATTTGTACCCACAGCAAGTGGTTTGAAGTCAATGACAATAACCATTCACCCACGGAAACCCCATAATTGTTAAAAATCTATGATATTTTGCGTATTATAATACTCTGTCACCCTGGAAAAAACTTGAACATTGACAAAACAACTGAACATTATAATTGTTAATAAACAAAGACTAATTTATCAAAAATAAATCATTATTCACAATATTTCTACTCAGTTTATACAAAGTATGCTGATTTGTTGTCCTTTAAATATACTGCTACATGTATATATCAGTCGGGCATACTTCCTGATCGGGAAACAAGGGGATTCCCCTTCAAGGCTTCCCGATCAGGCAGTAAACGTCAAAATCCTTCCCGATCGGGAAGTTTTTTGGCCTATTTTTACGTAGTTCAGGAAAAATGGCCGCTGCATAATAGTTTTCAACCCACTTCAATATGAACATCACATTTAAGTGCAGAAAAGATACATCTAAAATCCTACCGAGTCATTTTCTTTTAAAATGCCTAAAACTAAAATTATCTGAAAGTGAATTTGAGTGAAGTTTTACGATTTTACTAAGAAGTAGCGGCTTCCCGTTTTGGAAACACTGTTTCCTGATCAGGCATCTAGCATAATATTCACCATTAAATGTTTTCCGTTTGGGAAGATTTCTTCTTTAAGTTAGCGCGTTCTATTCTGGAATTATTGCTTGGGACAACACCAACAAATAAAGTTACCTGTGCAACAAATCAACATGTGAGTCATGGTGTGAATGTTTTGAAGTCTGAAGTGTCTAACAGTTTAGATACAAATGATAGCATCATAGGTGGTGTCTTCTTAAATTTTGTAAAAATGAATATTTGAATATATTCGAATATGGAAAAACGAATATTCGAACATCAATGTAAGTTCTTATTTGTTCCCGGCCCTAGTTATTTTTATTATGCCCCACTTCGAAGAAGAGCGGGTATATTGATTTGCTAATGTCCACACAATATCTGTATGGCTATAAATTGCATGTATACAATTTTATGTTGAAAAAAAAAATGTTATGTTATGTTAATGTTGGTCGGCCAGTCCATTGGTAGACCTCAGTTATTATCTTAAAAACTATTAATCACAGAGTCTTCATATTTTACATACTATTGGTCATAACTATAGTAGATGAAACCTATTGATTTCAGGGTCACTTTGTCAAAGGTCAAGGTCACAGGGACCCTAAATGTCAGAATGGTTTCCGCTCATTATCTTGATAACTATTTCTCACAAAGTCTTAATATTTCCAAATTAATTAGTCATATGTAGTAGATGACACCTATGATTTTGTGGTCACTAGTTCAAAGGTCAAGGTCACAGGGGCCTTAAATGTCAAAATTGGTTTAAGCTCATTATCTTTAAAACTATCTATCACTAAGTCATTATATTTCACATATTAATTGGTCGTAAGTAGTAGATGACCCTATCAATTTTTGGGTCTTTAGGTCAATGGTCAAGGTCACAGGGACCTTAAGTATGTTTGTTTATCCGTCGTTAGACCACATGGTTTCTGCTGATTATCTTAAAAGCTATTTATCAAAAAGGCTTTATATTTCATATATTGATTGGTCATAACTATTAGATAACATACATTGATTTTGGGGTAACTAGCTTAAAGGTCAAGGTTGCAGGTGTTTTAAATTTCGGAATCGTTTCCGCTCATTATCTTGAAAACTATTTATTAGAAAGTCTTTATATTTCACATATTGATTGGTCATAACTAGAAGATGACCCTTTTTGATTTTGGAGTCACTAGGTCAAAGGTCAAGGTCACAGTGACTTGAATGTCAAAATAGTATCCGCACAATATCTTGAAAAGTATTTTTCACAAAGTTTTCCTATTTCATGTGTTGATAAGTCATATGTGGTAAATGACCCTTATTGATTTTGGGGTCACCAGTTTAAAGGTAACAGGGTCCTTAAATGTCAGAATGGTTTGCGTTCATTATTTTGAAAACTATTAACCATTATTTGAGAACTATTTGTCACTAAACCTTTTATATTCCACTTATTGATTGGTTATAATTAGTAGATGACCCCTGTCGATTTTGAGGTCTTTAGGTCAAAGGTCACAAGGACGTTAAATGTCAGAATGGTTTCTACTCATTATCTTCAAAACTACCCGTTATCAAGTTTTTGTGTTTCACCTTTTAATTGTTCATAACAAGTAGATGGCCCCCTATTGATTTTGAGATCACTAGGTCAGAGGACAAGGTTACAATAACCTTGAATGTTCAAAATAGATGCTTATAGTTACATTTTCATGATAGTATATAATTTATTCCAGCTACTCTCCATTTTGTTTAACTTACTAATGATAGATTTCATTCAATTTCAGCTAGAAAGGGGGGCATATATGTCATTATGATATTTCTTGTTTTATTTATTTATTTTATCTTATATTTTATTCATTTTTTAAAATTAAAGTGGCTTAAAGGGTATGTTCTATATCTTACGAAATATTTAAATATTTATTAACAGCAAAATTATGCTGGTTCCATTATTATATGGTTGACTCCTGAAAAGGTAATGTAACATAGAATATCACTGTTATTAAATACAAATGAATCTTGTTAGTAAACAGGAACACAATACTGTTTTGCTATATTAGCCATTCGCGTTTAAGGCAATAAATTACCATATTTATTTCACACAATAATTTTGGAAGTATACTTTTTTAAAATTTTAACAATAATTTTTGCATCAGATATATAGCTTTATACACTTAAGTTTCAGAAATATGACACAGTCACTACAAACACATGTAGTATGCAAACACGTCTTAAGCTTTACCAAAAAAAAAAAATTATGTGAGCTCTAGTCAACATTTGAATTATTTGAGCTGCCTGGTAATTGTTTTGAGAAATAACACTCTATGCAATGTTGTTCAACATGTGCTTTACAATCTTAACAGTATGAAACTTTTGTATTGTAATGATGATTTTTGTACTGTCTGTCAAGTATAGCTAATGTTTTGATAGGTATTATTACGCCTAACAAGAACATAAGTTTCGCCAGATATATTCTACTCGTCGTGATTGAATTATGTGCCACATGTCTTTAAAAACTGACCAGGCTTGGCAATTTCTAATCATCAAGGCCAGGAACTACAACAAATATAAGGTACTTCCAGATTGGGAAGCAATGTATCTTAAACTTTTAATGACGAATATTTTGCTAGATGCCTGATCAGGAAGCAATGTTCCCAAAACGGGAAGTGGCTAGATTTGGTAAAATCTATAAACTTTACTTAAGTTCACTTTCAGATTATTTTAATTGTAAACATTTAAAAAGAAAATGACTCGGTAGGATTTTAGATGTATCTTTTCTGAACTAAAATGTAATATTCATATTGAAGTGGATTGAAAATTGTTATGCACCGGTCATGTTTCTTAAACTACGTAAAAAAGGCCTAAAAAACTTCCCGATCGGGAAAGATTTTGACGTTTGTTGCCTGATCGGGAAACCTTGAGGGGAAATCCCCTTGCTTCCCGATCAGGAAGTATGCCCGACTGTATATATTCTACATGCTTAAAACCTGAAGATAGTAGCACTGAATGTGATATTATTTGTTATGAAAATAGAGTATTTTGGCTTTCATACAAAATTATAAACCATTAATTATTAACAGTATTAATTGCCATCAAGCAACAGAAGCAAAAGACGGTTGGGTTAATTGGCCAATGAGTAATTTTTGGAAGTAATAACAGGACACCAATGAGGCATAATGGGCCTTTAATGGGCCTTTAATTTAAAATTGTCGGATATCACAGAAAAATCAAATTTTTTTAACCCTTATCTGGTGAATTATGTTTTGGAGCAGTCCATTATCAATTTAGGGGAGAATATCAAGATGAAAATACAGTGTCACACAACAGAACAGAACATGAGGTTTTCTTGAAATAATGTACTGAGGTCTACCTCCATCGGGACAATCTGAATGTCGCTGTAGTTATAGTGCCATTGTGACACTTAAAATCCAAATAACAAAAAAAACATTTCAGAAACATTGCACTTGTGACATATCATCTTTTTTAAGACTACTCCAACAGCAATTAGAAAGTATACAAGTTAAAAAACAAGAACTGTCGGAGGACAGTAACGCTCGACTATTCGAAAATTTGTCACAAGGGTGTTTCATTGAGTATAATAATGCTTACCTATATGAATACATAAAATTGTCCGAAAAGGTACAAACTCTTCAAGTTTCAATACATTCCCTTCAGTAGTTATGGAGAGACAAGCTTACATGCAAAAACTTAACCAAGAATTCATGAGTCGAAAAAGGGGCATAATTATGCAAAAAAGCAAATCAGAGTTATGGGACTTGTACCAATCATCTAAGATAATCACAGAGACCAAGTGTGTGAAGTTTCAATCCATTCCCTTCAGTAGTTATGGAGATACCAGCTTACACGCAAAAACTTAACCAAGAATTTCTAAGTCGAAAAAGGGGCATAATTATCTTAAAAAGCAAATCAGAGTTATGGGACTTGTGCCAATCATCTTAGATAATCACAGAGAACAAGTGTGTGAAGTTTCAATCCATTCCCTTCAGTAGTTATGGAGATACTAGCTTACATGCAAAAACTTAACCAAGAATTTCTAAGTCGAAAAAGGGGCATAATTATGTAAAAAAGCAAATCAGAGTTATGGGACTTGTGCCAATCATCTTAGATAATCACAGAGAACAAGTGTGTGAAGTTTCAATCAATTCCCTTCAGTAGTTATGTAGATACCAGCTTACATACAAAAACTTAACCAAGAATTTCTAAGTCGAAAAAGGGGCATAATTATAAAAAAAAGCAAATCAGAGTTATGGGACTTGTGCCAATCATCTTAGATAATCACAGAGAACAAGTGTGTGAAGTTTCAATCCATTCCCTTCAGTAGTTATGGAGATACCAGCTTACATACAAAAACTTAACCACAGGGACGCCGACGCCGACAAATGGGTGACTGCATTAGCTCGATTATTCTGCGAATAGTCGAGCTAAAAATCAAGCTTTGAAATAAGATATGAGCCGTGTCACGACAAAACCAACATAGTGCGTTTGCGACCAGCATGTATTCAGACCAGCCTGCGCTGATTAGGATCCATGTTGTTTGCTATCAGTTTGTCTATTTGAAATAGAGTTGGTAAGCGAACAGCATGGATCCTGATCAGACTGCACGGATGCACAGGCTGGTCTGGATTCATGCTGGTAGCAAACACACTATGTTGGTTTTGTCATGGCGAGGCTCATTTATTCAAGAAGATCATTGCTATCCTACCTTAGATGTGCCCGTAAGTGTGATGTTTTACCATATACTTTATTACAACCCTCCATATGACAAATGTGAACCTTCTTTTTATTATCTCTGCAAGAGAAAATCATGAACATTTCACCAACAAAATAATTTAAAAAAAAATAATAAACTACAAATGTGTCCATAGGACACAGATGCCCCCACACGCCACTATTCTGTCAATCTTAAGGTTGTTCATCCCTGGAAGTTTAAGCAAAGTCTGCCATCCCGTTTAAGAGGAGTTGCGTTCACAAAATTTCTACATAGTATATAGTGAAAAAATCAACAAAGGGCCATAATTCTGTTAAATTTGGTCGCAGCGAAAATTCCTTCCTTCACTACCATCTACACATTAAAGTTGTTCATCCCTGAAAGTTTAAGCAAAATCTGCCATCTGGTTTAAGAGGAGTTGCGTTCACAAGATTTGGGGACGTACGGATGGACGGACAGACGGACAAGTGCAACGCTATATGCTTGCTCCCACTTTGTGGGGGCATAAAAAGGTTTCCAATTTAGGACATACTACGGTACCAATTTCCTTTCTCTATGTTTAAACTTTTGACACCCACCCCCTTCACTCTGCTTATTTTACTGTCTATTTCACTAACTGTACAACTGCAGCAAAGATGGCTAAACATATTTTAAAATGTGATTTGGGACTCCTTGTTTTTCTGGCTTGGGAATCCTAGGACTCCCAGTGAAAACCCTGGCAACATGATCTTACTTACAATGTTTTATGCAATAATACCTTGTTTATAACAAAAATTAAATAATTTCATATTCTTCACAAGCTTGAAGAAGTGTTTAGCAAATTGTAATAACACAAATATATACATAACTTACTTGTTTTCGTTATTCTGACAGTTTGGACATGTACATGCAACACGTCGTAACCGTTTACCCGATGCAGGTGTGTCATTTGACACTTGTGATATAGGGGACATGAGGTTTGGAATGTTGAGGGGCGTGGCCGTCTGTGAAGCTCCCGTAGCAACCACCTGCCATTTAGAAGGGTCGTTGGGATCTTGTTGGATTGGTATTTGTTGACCTTGTGCTGTAAAATGAAAATACTACAACTATAAACAATGTGTTATATATGTTATCTTGGATCTCGGATATTGAAACTAATTGGCCATTTGTCTCTCACTGCTAATTGATTAAGAAATAATGTGGGATTAGTTTAGTTTTATATGAATTTATTTTAGTTTGATTTTACTGGAAGCTATAAGCTTATTGAAACACTCTTGAATCCGTTCCTGGAACCAACCAGTACTAAGCAATAAGTGCAAAATATCAACGAAACAATGGCTTGTGCCTGGCTGGGTTCGAATCCACCCGGCCAACAATCCTTAGATCACTAGAAGCATTAAACAGAAGGTAAAAAATCAACTTGACAAGAAATTGTAAAACATAAGCATACATTTCAGTTAGATATCATGTTTGAGATATCTCATCTTGATTATTGATTCATTCAGAGTAACATTTGTTCTGTCGCCCTGGGATGTGATATCTATATACTGTTACTGTCTTACTGACCTGTTATAATTTGTGTGCCAGCGAGGTTTTGTATTTGTTGAACACCTTGAATTCCCTGCTGTCCTAAAACATTTATTGAGGTTAGTTGTTGAGGGCTCCCTTGAGTCCCTACAGGTCCGAGTGTTGTGAAATTACCTTGTGCGTTTAACGCCAATGTACCTAGACCTTGAATTCCAGACAATGGTGTCCCAATTATCTGCCCTTGAATAGGCTGTCCATTTATCATTTGAATGCCTTGAATTCCTTGAATGTTTTGAAAACTTTGCAAGTTCTGAAGAGGTTGGATGCTTTGCATGTTCTGAACCTGCAAGGGAAACTGTCCATTCTTCACATTACCTAGATTAATTATTTGATTTTGGTGCAGCTACAACCTGTCCTTGATTGGCTATTTGAATATTTCCTT